AATACAGTATGTGTGTAGCCGAGTATGAAGATCATATATATACATATACATATACTGTATATAAACTGTATATACAAAGTATGTATATATTTTTTTTCTTTTGTTTGTTTGTTTCAACTCCTAAACAGCTAACTGAATCAAATGAACACATAAAAGCAATTTCTAATAGTTTTAGTGCTTTGTGCCTTATTTTATTTATGTTATTATTGCCTTATACACATATTGGCACTTAGAGTTGGATAAAATCTTCTGTTTGGTTTTCATTGTGGACAGAGAATTAGGAATTTAATTTCTTGAAGAAACATGTTTCTAGTTGTGAATACGATAAGAAACAGGTCCAGTCACTGATTTGGATCTTATTCATGAAGTCTTACTTTTTATGAATGAGGCATAAAATATATAAAAAACACCAGTCGGTCTGCAGAGGGCGTGTCCTGTTTTCCTTCCCCAGACATGTCAAAGTTATGTGAAGAATTTAATTTGTGGTTTGAGACCAGATTTCACTGCTGACTACAACCAGAGTATCYTAGTGTCTCTGCTGTCTGTGCCCCCCTGTTAAAATCCCAGTATCCAGTCTAAGGAAAAGGAAGTGGTTTACGACAGTTTCCCTTTCAGAATATCTGTCTGAAACCTTTGTGGCCTGGAGGTAAGCAGAAACCACGATCTGCTGTTCTACACAAACGGCTTCACGTTTGCTGTCCTGGCTCTCGTGAGGGAAACGTGACACTGATGCGAAACACCCCAGATCACAATAAATGAACCTGCGTCGGTCTAATAAACCGTGAAAATACACCTCCCCCTTCCAAACAAAGCATCCGCCCATCTCAGGAGAAGGCTGTGGGTTGGATTCCTGTGGCCAGCCTGTGGTTTGCACATTAGGSCTCTGTGAAAGTGAAATACCAGTAAAGCCAGCGGAGCTGAAAAACGGCAGTACAGAATTAAACAGTTTATTTACTTCCATTGTTACATAGGAACAAAATGTTAGTGAGAGCTGGTTTTGTGTTTAATAACATTCTAGAGCAGGGGGAGCTTGCTCTAGAGCAGTGGTTCCCAAACTTTTGATCTTCTGGCCCACGAAATATCCATGGAAAAACCTTGTGACCCCAAATATTACTGGTCTGAGTACATGAACTTTGTTAATAACCCTAAAAACACAGATTTTTTGACAATCTAAACAGCTTGTACACAAATTTAAATACTTATTTATACTTATTTTGTGTTTTTTAATAGTTATGGGGAAAATATTACATCAGCAATTATTTTATTACCCTTTATATTGATTTCCAGAGATTATCCAAGGTGCTTCATGACCCACAATTGGGTCCCAAGTCCAACTTTGGGAACCAAAGTGCAGTGGTTCCCAAACTTTTCAGCTTTTGACCCAGAAAATAACAGCAGCAGAGGCCTGTGCCCACAGTTATTTTTGTATGATAAACATTTGCATCAGGTCAACAAAACATGGGCATAGT